CATAGTATATAAATGAGTACATTTGATTTTTTTTGTTTTCACATCACATACGAATATAAAAATATTTATATAAAATATTAAGCAAATTTTTATTTTTTTATTATAATCAAATTAATTAATTCATTATAGTTTAGAAAGAAAATATTTATTTTTGTAATTCAATATATTTAAAAGTAAATTTATTAAAAATAAATTTTAGATTTAGTAAAAAAAACAAAAACAAAATTTGTTACTGTTTGAATTTTGTTAATAATATGCAGGGTATCGCAAATTTTACCAATCGAATTTGAATCGTAACTATTACAAATAAAAAATAAATCAAAATTATATATATATAAATAAAATTTATATAATATATTTTCATTACATATATATATTTATATATATATATATACATACATATAAATACATTTTTAATATATTATATTGATATATAAATATTTATATGTATATATATATAATATATAATATATATATATGTTATAAAAGAAAATTGAACTTTTCTATTATTCAGACACAAAACTAATATATCAGTGGCCTTAACTTACAAACAAAACAAAAAATATTAAAGATTTTCTCTATATACGATAATAAAAACTTTATTTCAGGTGATTTAGTAAAATTATATACAACTACATATACAGTATAACTTAGATAAATTTCACGTATATGAAATTTTTTGAAAAAATTTACGATAATTATTCATATATTTAGTATATACTCATATACCATAATATAATGTGCCTTAGTATTTGTCATATTTATATCTGAATCTATATATCTACAAAATGTATAGAAAGTCTTTTCAAAATGAAAAAATTTAAAAAAAAAATTACTTTTAGTCTTTAATAAAATCTTCTTTTAGTCCTTTAAAAATGTAATTGCATTAAAATAATTATATTTAATGAAGAAACCACATAAGAAAAGAGACAAAGAAGTTCGACAAATTAGAATGTAAATAAAGACTTTTTAAAATTAGTTTTTTTAATCTAATATTAAAAAAAATAAAATGCAGCTATAATAGTTAAATTTAATATTTTGTGTGGTAGCCTTTAGATTAAGAACTACTCAAGGCCTTAGTTTCATAGAAGTAATCAATTTTTTTATATCAATTTATTCCGGAATTTCGAACCATTCTACTGTTATATATCTCCTCTGGTAGTCTTTTCACCACATTCTTCTTTAAGTGGGTCCACAAATTCTCAATTGAATTGAGGTTTGGACTTTGGGGGAATATGTCGAGCACTTTTTGGCAGTCATAAAGCAAACAGCTTCTTACAAAATAAGATTTATGCTTTGAATCGTTATCCCCAAAAAAAATTATAACGACAAAGAAGACCAGATTTTTCAACACTGTTTACCAGGTTCGTTCTTAAAATGTCTAGATATTGTTACTTATCCAAATGATCATCTATATAAAAATCAGGTCTACCACCCTGCGACAACATATACAAACCCAAACCATTACAGGCAATTTTCCAAATTTATTAATAAATTACTAATATACATATACTATTATTATTAATCATATCACCAATTATATCAATAATATTAACCCTATATATTAATAACGTAAACTATATAGGATTCTAAGTGAAAAATTTAGGAATCTGATCAGCATATCACCAATTTTTTCTTTTCTTTTTATATAATACATTTTTTTCTTATTTCATTTATTTTTAAGAAATACTCGTAGAAAAACAGGCACAAAATTTAATCACTTTTTTGTTTTTAATACCTTTTTGTATGATTTTTTTTTTACAAATACATTTAACCCTTAATAAAATTTACCGATTTTAAATTTATTAATAACACTTGACAACATTTTTGCGATTTATTGGGTTATTCTCAATTTGTTTTGTCTTATATACAAATATATAAAAATTAAATATATATTTGTTAAAACAAAAAACAGAAAAATAATGATATACATATACATGTTCATTTTGAATGTATATACGTGTATAATTATTTTTCATTATTTAGAGAATGTTTTTACTATGATTATCTATATAAATGAATATTTAAAAAATAATTTCCTACTAAAAACTTATTGCGATTAATCACTATAAATTGATAAAATAAAAACGTCATTTTAAATATTAAACACTTATATATTATATTTTTTTGACATTTTTGTTTTTCAAAATATTAAACAACACAAAAAAATATAAATATTGTAGGTAATGTATATGATTTTTGATATTTATATATGTACATATATATATACACCATGACGTTTGAACTGCATATACTACTAATTAATTTCATACACAATTCATAAGCTGAATTTCGTATAAATACCGTAATTCTTCCAAACTTTTGAATCAGCGATATTATATATGCACATATTTTTAATTATTTCATTATATATAATGAAATTGTAATATTTTTTTTTAATATTTATAATATATATCATGAGTTCCATAATATTGAAGTATCAATTCTGTCCGTCATATCAAAATTCTAAAAATAACATTTCGTGAAATTTTGCAAACGTATAAAAAATTAGTGGCTACGGCTTCTTCTACCTCGGCATAGCATAGTTGAACATAACCGTTCTTTAAAAACCTTTTCTTTACATCGTTTTTTATATCGTTTTTCTTCTAGAAGGTAACTTGTAAGAGTTTAAAATTTCAGCTTCTTTTAGAAACCAACGAATAATATTTATTTCGTTGGAAGAAATTTTTTTTGCATCATCATACTCTTAAGTTAACGCCACTAGAAATTCGTAAAATATGAATTTTCCACACCTTATATTTCTGAAACTTTTAGCTTTTCTAATTTTCCGTAAATGCAGAAAGCTACAAGCGAATTCAACATCATCAAAAAAAGTTATTTTTCTTAACTAAGATAATTAACCCTTTAGTTCGACCCCTGTGTTGACACTTTTTTCAATATTTTTTTGCATCATACATAAATGCATGCAATAAACTGACTTTTTAAATTTTTTTTCCTCCATCCCTAAAAGTATGCAATATTTTTGATTTGAATAAAAGTAATTTGAATAATGTCGGAAATCAAGAAAAATCGAATTTTCTGTATATATTCTGTATTTAAATATTATTTTATTTTGCAAAGTATACATTATAGAATTCGAACGTATATACTTTTAAAAAAATCTATATATATGCCTACAATATTTTTTCAAATAATAACATATAAATTTTCTTTTATATCTAATTTCGAAAATTCTTACTCAACTGTACGCTATGATGGTTGATACCTTGATGCAAAGCAAACATTTAAGCGATTTATTTATGATTCATACAATTGAAATTGTATATTTTGCTGAACAATTAAAAGTTGGCAATTACAGATTTGCATTTTGGTAGACACTAATAATTTTTTTTTTAATTAATTTTGTGATAGAATTTGTGCGTGTAAATATGTGTATTTGGGGGAATTCAAAATTACAATAAATTACCTAAATATTTAAGTATATATTCAGAATATTTCAATATTGTATAAAATTAAAAAAATAGAATATACTCATATGTATGTATCACCAAATTTTATATATGGTTAACCATGTTGTCTATAAATTGAGTGATATACTTTAATTGCTTAGCACAATGCGGCTTATATAATTGTCAATTATTAAATTGTATATACAGGAATACAATTTATTACTGTACAACTTTGAAGTTAATTTATATCATTAATTCAAATCAGAAGGAATAATCATATAATATTATGTAAAATATCATTAAACAATCTATTGTTTTTTTGAATTCAACCGGCCAACAGTGCAGTATTAATATTTTTTACTTTTGAAACACAATAACAAAATAAACAAGAAAAAAACAGATCCTATTTTATTTTACAACACTTTTTTCTAATTTCAAATTATTTTTTTCCTTATTAAATTAAATTTTGATGAGAATAGAGGTGAATAAACATTCTTCTGATAACCAGTTTTAGATATATATATATATAAAATATTTATATAAAGCAAAAATATCTACGAGAATCAAAAAAAAATTCATATATAATTAATACAATATACATATATATATATATATAAATATACTTTAATATTTCAATTCAAATATTTGATAAACTGAATTGTAATATAAGTATATGTATATAGTTTTAAACCCATTTTGGAACAAGACATTTCCAAACGGTTGCCTTTATTTGATATAGTTAAATAAGATCGAACATACATTTATTGCCATATACTAAAAACTTAAGCAATTAAAAAAAAATTAAAATTTAATAATAAATTGGTAATAAATTTTACCGAGACAAAAAGTTTCTTTTATAATTATTCTTCTTCTCTTTGTACATATTAGGCATATTATTTCGTATAAATTTCGTAAGGTAAATGCTATATTACGTCTGTAACCAAAATCAAATAAAAAATAAATAAATTTTTTATTTTATACATACTGACTTAATTATGTGAAATTCCCACCTATATATATACATAATAATATGAATACCATAGCATTATTATATATAGGCTACAATAAACCAACAAAAAAAAAAAACAAAATATTCTGTACGTTACTTTGAAATTGCAAAAATTACTGATATTGGATATTGCGACTAATGTAGTATAATTATAATTGCCGATTTGGGTATTTTATTTATGTAAATAAGAAATTCAGCTATAATTCCAGAATTAATTGTATATATATATACAATATAAATTGTATATTAGTACACAATTCAGCTAATGAAAATTTTGAAATCATAGACTAATATTAATAATTAAAAATTTAATATAAATTTAAACATACATAAAAAAAAATATTGTGTCTAAGTTATTTTCTTTTATTTTTGTTTTTTTTTTTTAAATTTATTATTTAAACTTTTATAATATACATATATTTACATACAATTTAAATAAAAAATGAAAAAAAATTACATAAATATTTTTTTTAAATTTTTTTTTTTTTTACTTTTTAATATTTCATATATGCCAATTTTTCAAATTGAAATAAATTTTGTTATTGAAAAAAAAAATCAAAAATAAAAACACAAAAAAATAGTACAAATATCATGCCAAAGTTGACGATCAAATTGATAAAACCCTAGCGAATATGAACCAAGGTTTAATTGGTAAATTAATGTCTGTATTAGAGGCCTCATTATCAAAATTATCACGTTATGATGAGGGTAGTTTAATTGGTTCAATATTAAGTTTTACGAATGTATCAGGTTCGGGTAAAGATTTAGGCCAAGGTTATGTTAATTTTGCTAGAAATAATATGGATCAAATACGTGGTAAAATTAGCGATGATTTATGGATTATTAATTTCTTTGAAGTTTGGTATACACAACAAATAAACATGCTATGTAATTGGTTATCAGAACGTTTGGATCATTCATTGCATTTTTATCAATGCACATGTCTATCACATATTGTTAAGGTAAGAATGTACAAAAAAAAAAAAGAAAAATGTCAAGAAAAAAAAAAATCTATAGTTTGTATTGTCTTCTTATTTTTTTTTTGTTTTTTTTTCTTCTATATATAAAAAAACTTTTTTTTGGATATTTTATTAAATATATAGCGTATTATGTGTGTGTGTATTAAATACATGTGTACAATTATAATTTATATTGTATATGTGCATAGAATGTATATAAAATTGTGCTAGTTTTTAAATTTTATTATTAATATATACATATGTATACATATACATATCTATATACATATATATCAAATTATGTAATAATATGTGGAATGCATTTGTGTATATATATATATATATATATATATATATATATATATATATATATATATATATATATAAATATTTATATATATATATATATATTATATATATATATATTTTTTATATATATATATATATATATATATATATATATATATATATATATATATATATATATATATATTATATATATATATATATTTTTTATATATATATATATATATATATATATATATATATATATATATGTAATATATTTGTATACATATGATATTTGTAGATATATATGTTACAATTTTTATTCCGAAAAGTAAATATATACATATATATATCAATGATATACACATGTAACGTATTTTAATTTTTTTCGTATTGTATAATAAAAATGCTTTTAAGCTGCAGAGCAATAGAAAAAAAAAAACAAGAAATACAAAAAGTCAAATTTGACTAATACACAACAAACAGCATATTTTTGTATTATATAATCAATATATTTACACATATACGCATGGTAAAAAATTTAAAATAACAAAATATTTTAATACAAAATATTATTTATATAAACACTTTAAAATATTATTTGCATATAATATTATGTAGTCTCTGTATTTTTTTTTTTTGTGTACAAAAACATAAAAACCTTTTCACTTCCTTGTTATAACAAAAAAAAATCTAATGTGATCAGCATATAAGCGACCGAAAAACTGGTCGCTATTAAACTATATTGCATAGTATGTTGTTATAAAAATATCCCCTAAAAAACCCTTTTTTCAAGTTTTAATGATGCTAAAATAGCAAACTTTTAATTTAACTTACCTAGAAAAATTTCAAATTTTTTTCTTAATACATTAAACTGTCATACTATCGAATTCTTTGAGAAACCTTCTTAGGGAAGTATTTCTTGTCAGATATTTTGGGTATGGCAAACAGAAATTTAATATTAATTAATTATTTCTTAATATATAAGTACAAAAATATATAAATTAATAAAAGCCATAACTAAAAGTCCAGTTGATAACACAATGATTTCTCCTGAAAAGAATCTATAGCTGTTTAAAACCAATTGGAAAACAACTTTCGTTTTTATTTTTTATAATCTGGAGGGCAGGAAAATATATTATTCATTTTTTTTTTAAATATATTTATTGTATGTATATTGTTGTTATATTTTCATGAAGTAGCTTTGAGAACTAAATAAAAACAGCTTTGTTATCATGCTATACCTAAGATAAACTATAGATAATCATATACATACTAAAAATGTATCCCTATAATTAAATAAAATTAAAAAAAGAATAAATGTAATTTTATAGTTATATAATAGGAGCTTTTGAATAATTTTTTCATTTATCGTATATATAACGTCTACCTAGATATGCATTTACCTAGCCCCAAATATATATACTTTTAATATATCTTTTTGTTTCAATTGAATTAGATTGCAATTATATTTTGTTATAAAATTTTAAATGATAGTACACGCGATATTAATTGATTTTTTTTTTATATTAAATTGAAAGCACAGATATAACATATTCAAATTTGTTTAGTGAAATTGCAATATTTTTATTAAAAATTAAAAAGAATTAAAAAAACCAATAATTAACGTAAAGAACGTTCAGAAAAAAAATTAAAATCTAAAGCCGCCTAATGTAGGGCAATTTGTTTCATATAGTGTCCTTTATTTTCAATTTTTAAATGCGTGTCGCTAATATTTACATATATAATTATAAATAATTAATCTTTTTACTATTAAGTAACAAATTTGAATATCTTATCTGTATATGTTTTGAATTTAATAACAAAAAAAAAAAACACAAATCAATTTAATGTATCCTGCTTATATTAGATTTTATGAAAAAAAAAAAATTGCAAGCTTATCATAATAGGGAACAGAAAAATTGACAAAACCAAATATATTTTGGTGCTGGATGCATTATGTTAGATTTTATATATATTTTGTATATATTTGATTTGAAATTTATATTAATTATATATATATATACTCTGGCATTTCTATTGCATTAATACTACTGTGTATACAGTACATATACAGTACAAAATAAAGTTCATATTACTACGAAAAATTCACCTATAATTATATATAAAAGTTGAATTGTTTTAGTAATATTTTAATATTAGTGCAATTTTGGTGTCAGAAATATCATATACACGTTACATACGAGAGTATATACCAAAAAATAATTTATATTATCAAATATATTATGTAATATATGTTGATATTTTTTAAATTTTATGTAAGAAACGCTTATAAAAACAATTTGATCTCAAAATTACAATAATACTTTATTGATACACAATTCAGTATTGTATATAACTTTAAAGCTGAAATGTGTTTTAATACAAGTATATTACTGTAATTTTGAAGTTATGGAAATAATAAAATGAATATTTTTTTTAAACGCACTTTTTTCATATAATATTTTTCTTTTCTATTTTGTTTTTTTTTAATAATTTTATATAATATTCTTATATAGTTCGGCTTATTTTGAAATATTATAAAAAATAATTTTAAAGAAAATAACAAAAACGAAAATTCGAATATTAAATCAAATGAATAATAATAATTAATTATGATGATATGGTACGCATTGAGGAGGAGTATATTTACTTAAGTCTTATAATTCAACTATACCATTAAATATAACTAAGCAATCATTTGCACATCAATAATATTTTTGCATTGATCTATATTTTGATATTATCTTTTATCCATTTTGTATACGTAATCATTTAAAATATTTATATCATAATGATTTCAAAATATATTCAAACCATAATTACATTTCAAATACATTATCAAATTAATACATGAAAAAAAAAATCCAGGAATATTTATGGAATATATAAATATTACCGAATAATTTGGCTTGGCCATATATATGATATATCACGTATGCATTGATGTGTAAACTATGTTATATAATTAATTTCAATTAACATCGACATCTAAATTCCAATACTATATTATATAAGTACTCGTAATATACAGAATTCAACAAATAAAATTGAAATGTTAAATAATCAAACAGTTTTTGTGTATACATGTATACATGTAGCTATATTTATCTCCGCATTTACTCTATTTAATGTCACAATAATTCAAATTTAAACTACATAATATCAAACCTCAATCCATTATATTTATATTATATTCATTTTCAGAACAAAAAATCTAAATATATGCAATTATTTCTGCTTAGTTGCTTTAAATATATTATTCATTTATAATGAAAAATAATTTGTTCATTTATAAAATATAAATATATATTCATCACTCTACAATATACATTTAAATCTTCATTAAAATATAAATCAATATTTTCATACTAAATTTATCATATTATAATTGAAAATAATTTTCTGGTTTGATTTTTCAACAAAAAATTTCATTTTGCCTTAATGTTCTTAGAACTTCAAATAAATTCAAATCGATATTGAAATAATTGTATAATTCATTATTAATATTAAATTTGTTGTTCTTTAAAATTTAAACCTGTTTCTTCTCAATTTAATGATAAAAATTTCTTCATAAAATTAAATATAAAACAGATGAATGATAGAAAATCAAAAAAATGTTTCTCCTTGTATGGAATCAGGGACCAGAGCGGCCATATCGGAATATTTCTCCAATTTATGAATATATATATACATTTAATAACTTACTTTTCACTACATTAACATAACATATAATAAATGAATTAAAACATCCGTGAATTCGAAATTGTGTATATTGTAACTGTTTGTAACACAATTCAAAAATTACAATTTATGACCAAAAATCAAATTATCACATAATACTATATTTGTAAAGTTTGAAAGATTTATAAGATGAGATTGAAAAAGAAATAAGTTAGTAGTAAAAAAACCCCCATAAAAGTATTTTCAACTCAATAAAAGTTTAAGGGCCTGATTGTCTATTTCGCTATTTTACTCGGAAAGTGAGAAGAAACTGAGTAAAAATACTTGAATATCATATACTTGAATAATGTAATTTTCGAGTGAGAAGAATTATTCCAATTTCGTATCTCATTTTTTTAAATTGTATACAAAAGTTTTTCACTTTGTTTTTGAAAATGAAACATTTAGTCAATAGTTTGAGAAAAAAAGCAAAAATCCGATTAAAAAAATGAGTAATCTTACTGGAAAAGTGAAACATCCATTACAAAATACTTATAATTCTGATTTGAAAGTGAATAAAAAATGAGTAAGAAAGCAAGATCGTGTTATCAGGGCTTTTGCAGCTTGATATAACTATAAAGTAAATCGAAATGTATATTTTTCGATTCACAAAAATATTTCATTAAATTTATGTATAGATGCGTTAGTTTTTTATGGGACATCAAATTTAATGTTCAAATTTTTCACATCGATTTGAAATATCGAAACACAGAACATTTGCCTTTCCAAATTCAATTGAAATAATATCATTATGTAATTATATCAAGATTCTATTATATATATATTTTATGAAATAATATTTTAAATTCAAATTATACTCAAATATATTATCATAATTATTATAATACTTATCATATTAATTATTCATAACAATATAGGTGACTTCAAAATTGCCGTAACCCGTATTATAATATGTAATTCAAATTTTATCGGAATTGTAATAATACCGTATTTATACACAGTAAAGCATTTGAAATTTATATGCTGATTTC